TTCCCAGCCTAAGGAAAGATGCTTAATCCTTAAAGAAATGCCAACGTTGGGAGGGGGAGGGAAGTCAGTTACAGGAGGTTACCAGAGAAGCACAATAAAATGCAGATTTAAGTCTTTGCCTTTGGTATTGATTAAGAGTTTCTAGAGAGAAGGTCATCTCCTTTCTTCTTCCTGGTACAGAGAGGGAGGCACCTTTTACAGACAGAGATTTACCCTGCAAATGTAAATGTGTGCTAACAAAGGGCAAGTTCCATTCCTCAGAGCCTCCTTCCCTGTCCCAGTTTATCAAAAGCAATCAGCCTCAAATAATCCTGATGCCATATCTTGGGGTGGCCAATTTCAGGTCCCCACACTGGGTATTACTAAGAAAAGTGAGATACAGAAAGGTAATTTACTCAAGGCTTAAAAGCTAGTCAATGGCAGAGGCAAAATTTTAACTTGGCAGTCTGATTCCAGCCTCCATGCCACACTGGCCTAGGACATCTGCTGATCTGTTCCAGCACTGGCTCTGCTAAAGACCTCGTGCCTTAGGGCCCCTGTTAAGGCAGCTTGTGGCTGCTACCGCCACTGTCTAATTCTGCCTACTCAAGTCACAACCTGACAGCGCTGGGCTGAACCAGCTCAGCTCTGCTCCACTTCGCCAGGCCACTAGCGCCGCTGCTCCTGCTGCTGCTGCTGCTGCTACTAAGGCACCCGCCAGAGGTGGAGGGGCTCTGTGAGAAGGCATCCTCCCACTTTGCTGCTGCCTCCACTCTTGTGCACAGGTACCAAAGCTTCCACTCTGTACCAAAGCCAACAGGACTGGTGACCCCACTTTGATGTGGCTGAACCCTGCTGAGTACTCTACTGGCATGGGAAGAATCTCTCTCCCCAACTTTGAGGCACTTTCTGTTTCACGAGTTTCAGTTCAGACCTGCTCTGAGTTCCTGATGTCTGGCAGGTTTTTTGACAAACACATCCTGTTACCAAAACTGAAATGGGGTCCCTCCTGGTGATTTAAATCAGACTCTACACTGATGCAGGGTCGGTGAGCCGAGGAGTCGAAAGAAAGGTTTCTTAGACTCTCAAGATCTGGCAGGAGTGCTCTTTTATTTGGAGAATAGAATAGCGTGGAGACAGGACCCATGGGCGGGCATAGCTGCTGCGTGGGGACAGGACCCACGGGCAGTCAGAGTTGCTGCTGGCATGGGGAGCTGCTGCTGCCGCTGCTGCTTCTGCTGCTGCAAAGTTGGGTGGTGAGTAAAGCTAAATTTAAGGCATAGGTATGTGAGTTATCTCTTTACAAGACAAAGAATATGTAAAAAAGGTTAAAATGGTATCAGTGCCTGTAGGGTCTGGCCATATGGCGGTCCCACAACTTTTAGATAAGAATCAAACCGGATTGAGTAAATGGCAGAAGTCACCAATTGAATTTTATCCTCAGCTAAAGACAAAGGAGGATTTGGGGGGGGGGGGTCAGTTACATGAGGTTGCCAGACAGTAACCAACTTAAGTTCTTGCCTCTGGCATTGATTAAGAGTTTCTAGAGATAAAGCCATCCCCCTTCTTCCTGGCACAGAGAGGGAGGCATCTTCACAGGTAGAGGTTTCCCTTAGAAATGTAAATATTTCCCAACAAAGGGACAAGCAAATTCTACTCCTTGGAGCCTGCCTCTCTCATCTGTAGTTTTAAAAGTAACCAGCCTAAAAATCCTCATTTAAAATTAAGCAGCCTAAAAATCCTCATCATACACCACAAGTAATTGTCTCACAAAGTAAAGGATATTTGCAGCAAATAGGAGACCACGAGGTATGATTTCCAGAGTAATGGCATCCCCAAACAAAGGGAAGCAGGGACATTTACTTTGGATGGGGAATGAACATTCAAAAGGGAGCAGTGGGTATTTGCTTGTGCATGCTCAATTGGAAAACACGCTTCCACACACACTGCAGGTTATGGTAATAAGGCCTGAGCTTCTCCTGGAAAGATCTTAGCATTAAAAATAAGGCAAAGGTCATAGGCATAGCTCTCCTGGTGAGGCTTGGTCTGGTTCAGGGAGTTTAGTGATTGCATCTCCTTAACATAACAAAGGAAAAAAGAACAATCTGGAAAAACAGTTAAAATATCCAAACCCACCCTTGAGTTCCTTGGGGTAACTAGTCGGTGACAATCCTTCTATTTAACTCCCTACTCCCTCCTAGCACAGGAATCCAGTGTAACCTATAGTAGAAGATACAGACTTACACTGTATTCAAAATCACCTCTTTGTCCCTGGACCAAGGGTGTCTCACTGACTCTCTTTTCCCTGCAGAGGCCTGATTTCCAGCAGGGAGGACTCTCATGCCTTACGTTAAGGAGATTCCTGGTCGGTCTGTCTCTCCAGTTCTCAGGACATGTTTAGACATAGCCTGAACCTGTGAGGATAAGCCAGTTTAGGATTAAACTGGGACTTTCACTCCGGTTATGTTATTAAATGATTACTAATGGATTTTATTTGGGGCTTGAATTTTAGACAACCAGCTACTAAAGGTGCAGCAGGAACAAATAAAGCATGCCCACTCTGGAGGTGACTGCTGTGATGAACTTAGGGAAAATAAAAACATACAAACAGATAACAGAGAGACCTGTGTGGCTGTCTGACTGGCATAAAAAGCAGTAGCCTATGGATCAGGGAAGTAAAATACTCGCCCTGATCTTAGTGCTCATGAATTCTGCATTATTGTGATCTATGCTCTCCCTTGGTGCTCACCCAGGGCTCTCCTGCTTACTGGGTTCCAATCCTTCCCTTAGGGAATTCACAATTCCATCTGCTAATTTATTTAGGTCCTCCCAGATGTCTCCCCATATTCTCTCCCTCTCACATCTGCACCTCTCTCTTTGAAGATGTGTTTTCCAAGAATATACCACATTCTGGTTATTCTCATTCATACAGCTCTGGCAAATTCACAGTTGATTCTCCACTTATGTCATTTTATTCCCTTAGAATTTGTTAGAGCAGAGCTTTCTTTTCCTTAGATTACTTAAGATTTCTCTTGGCGTCATTAGCGAATGTATTTATTAATCACCGGTTTTGGTTCTGTTTCATTTCCTCTGGTAACTGGGTAGCCAGTGAACATCCGTCCTCATGTCCGTTAACCTTTGCTCAACTGTCTCCTTGTCAGCGAGGCTCACCCTCACCTCCAATTTAAAACTACACCCTGCGGCTTCCCCTCCCCTGCCCTCTCAGTTCCTTTCTCCCTTTTTCATAGCACTTGTTACCTTCTAGCACAGTATGTCCCGTGTTATGCCGCCTTTCTCTCAGCATCTTGAGGCCAGGGCTCTTGAGGCCTTTGACTCAATGCTGTAGAACAGCACCTGATGCCCAGTGGTAACTCAGAAAACAGTTATTGAATTTATTGTATTGTTACAAGTGACATCTTTCCTCCACAAATTTGCAACCTAAGTTCAATTATAGACCTAATAAGAAATGAAAAAATATTGACAGGAGATTTTCACATATCGATTTATAGGGGGTAACTTCTGGTTCAAAACTGATTTGGCTTGAACTGAAAAGCCTGATTTATGGCCGATCAAACATACGTTGTATGACTGCTTTAACCATTAAAGAATGCACGCTCTTCAGGTAAGAATGCATACTTCCCGTCAGACACCCTATGGTAATGCCCATATTAGTCCCTTTCCCAACATCAGGGTTATATTGACCTGCTAATTTGCAACTGAATACCTCTTTGAAACTTTGATGAATATGTATCCTGGGTGTGTTTAATGTATGTTCTTTGTTCCAAAAAGGTATAAGACTACTGAAAACCATGCTTCTCCAGAATGCTTTCTTCCTTTGTGGACATTCTGTTACGGAACCAGGCTCATTTGGGCCTGGAAAGCCAAACACTGAGACAACCAGATTGCAGCAGAGAGAGGATTTAATCACAAGGCAGCCAAGAGAGGAAGCCACAGAATGAGTCTCAAATCCGCTTCCCCAAAAATATGGACTCAGGGATATTTATGGGGTAGGGTGCAAGGTCGTCTGAAACGTGGAGAGAGGTGATCGGAGGTGAGGCAATTGATGATCTGGGCAAGCGTAGTCAGACTCCATGCCTCTTCCTAGGACATGTGTTCACAAAATGAGGGTGTTGGTGATGCGGGCTCAGTGAGTCGAGGAGTCGAAAGATTTCTTGGACTCTCAAGGTCTGGCAGTAGTGCTCTTTTATTCAGAGAATAGAATGGAGACAGGCCCCATGGGCAGTGAAAAGCTGCCGGCATGGGGACAGGACCCGTGGGCAGGAAGAGCTGCCAGCATGGGAGAGGCCCCATGGACAGTGAAGAGCTGCCTGCATGGGGACAGGACCCGTGGGCAGGAAGAGCTGCAATGGGATGAGGGCAGGGCTAAATTCATAAGGCATAGATATATGAGTTATTTCTTTACATGACAAAGGAAAGCTTATATAAAAAAGTCATTAAAATAGTATCAGTGTAGGTGGGATCTGGCTATTGGTTGGTCCTATAACTTTAGATAAGAATCAGATAAGGTCAGGACATCCTATGCTTCCAGAGGATGATATAGCTCGGTATGGAGGGCAGGTCACCTTGGACTTCTCTCCTTGGGACAGGAGCAGCCTTGATCCTCATCATTAGCATGATCTGAGGGTGGAATTTTTAGCCTCTTGATGTCAAAAGGTCATTTATCAGATATCTGTGCAGGCCCAGTTGATGGATTGGTGGTCTCAACCAGCCTGAAGTGAACAAGGGGTTCTAATTCGTGAAAAACCCCTCACACACCCATTACCATGGTGACCCAGGCTCCAGGGACATGTTATCTATAGGAACCTGGTAGGAGTCGGACAGCATATTGCCTAAAGAGCGCAGTTAACAAGGGGTGGGCAAACAGTTAAAAGCTATAATCAGTCATTGCAAAAAGGGAAAAAACTTTAGTTCCTAGCTACTTAATCATCAGTGGTTAACTGTTTGCTGGTTTCAACTGCCTTCCTGGGTTATAATTAATCCTCACCCTGGCTCAAGTAAAACTCACCTTATCTCTCTTATCTATAGAATGGTTATTGGTTGTTTTGCATCTACACTACCTAAAAATGAAAAAGTTATGTCTATTATATGCAAAGACGTGTTCTTTCACCTAGTAAGGGCTAAAAAAAAGAATTAGGGCTTTTGTACTATACTTTACCTCTGAAAGAAAAGAAGTTCTTTTGTGATCCTTATGAAAAGGGGCATGATGGGAAAAAGAAAGAAAATAAGAAGGACTTTCAAAGGAATCCTGGCTCTCCAGCCCAACTCCTCACTTAGAAGCAGGGCCTGCATTCCTTCCCCGCCCTCCCAGAGCACCATTCCCACCTGGTCCTCTTTCTCCACAGCTCACAGACCTCTCCTGACCTCTCCCCAGCTCACATTTCCTTGGAAAAAAACAGAAAAAAAATCACAATCACCTGACCACTCACCACAAACCTGACCCCTTACCTCCATCTGTGCACTCACGCTCCACCCTCCTCTCTGCTACAATAAAAACTTCTATAGGTCCATCAAAGGCCATCCACCATTTGTGGTTTGGATTCTGTCTCCTGCCCAAAAAGGTGGGGTTCTGAAAACAGCACTCTCCTCTCTACTTCATAATAAATTTCTACTTCTTCAATTCATTGCTCCCGTCAGTACAAATATACTGTTGTCCACCTTAAAAAGCGAAATTCTCCCGTGGCCTCTGTTCCCCTTCAGGGACAGCCTTATTTCTCTGCTCTCTGACACAGTAAAACTTCAGAATCTCACCTCTCAATTTTCTTCTCTGCCTAGTCCAACTGGGCTTCTGTTTTCACCACTGCACTCAAACATCCATCTCCGTCTTGCTAAATCCCAAAGTCGTCATCTGAGCCCTCCCTCCCCACCTGCTTGTTTAACACTTGTTTCTCGAGGCTCAATGACGACCATGCTCTCCTAATTTTCCTTCCACCTCACTGGCCCCTCCTTCTCTCTGCCTGGCCCCTAAATCTAGGCCTGTTAGAATGGATATACTGCATAATGCTGGAAAACTCATCAGCTTACTTCTGTAGGAAGACCTGGAGGACACTCCGTTTACCAAAGCAATAAGGAACGCGCTGAGGAGCTCCAGCCTTGCTGAGAAGACCAGTGATCAGCTGTCCTCTGTAGACCAGGGCTGAGGGTAAGAGATGCTGTTTTGGAACCGGGCTAATAGCAATGGGGATGAGGATGAGAATGGAGGCCAGGTGGCACCCCTTAACCATCAGAAACAAGGTGGGAACAATTACCATCATGAGCTGCCCAGTCAGGGGAGAGGGAGGGGGAGGGGGAGGGGGGCAGGAGGAATAACCTGTAGAGAATCAGGGCAGGGTTAATGTGATACTTGGGACTCAGACGTATTGCTTAATTTATACAATTAAAGAAATCAAGAAAGATCAGGAGGCTGAGGGCGGTCACCCCCATAAAAAGTCATGCTCTCTCCCTCAGCTGGGCCTAAGCCAGTTCTCAATCCTGGAACCCAGTAACTGAGGGGAAGCCAGGTTCCTATGATGAGGAGGCCTGAAACACCACCACAACTGCCATTCAGTAGTGAATACCCCATCCTTCCTCAAAGGGACCTGTGGACATTTACTCAGAGTATCCATGCATTGGGGAAAGGGGAACACCCAGCCCTTTGCAGGATTGTTGGACACAAGGTCTAAACTGGCATTATATCCAGGAACTAAAGTGCCAACACGGCCCCTGTTTAGAGTAGGAGTATATGGGAGCCAGGTAATAAGTGGAGGCCCAGCCCAGGCCCAGCTCACAGTGGGTCCTTTAGGTTGTGAGCCCCACCAGTGTCTGGTCCCTGAAAGTACAGTTGGAATGGACATACTTGAAAGAAACTTACACTGGTTCCTAATGAGAGTTATTAAGAGTATGAAAGGCTAAGTGGAAGCTTCTGAGACTGCCACCACCACTCCCTTCCCCAGTCAAGATAGTAAATTAAAAGCACTATCACATCCCAGGGCAATGGTAAGATGCGTGCCACATCTTAAAGGGGTGATGGTCTCTGTCAAATACCAACTTAATTTGCCGGCTGGCCCTCACAAAAACTACATGGATCATGGCAGATGACAGTGAAATACCCAAATGTAACCAGGTGGTAGCCTCAATGCCCCAGGGTCAAACGCAGCAGTTGATCAGTTTATCCTGCTGAACCTTCTCTTGCATGCTTTCCAGGAACAAGACTGACCAGAATCCTGGAGAAATTGAGGGTGGAAGCAGTGATTGACAGCAAACAGGCTAGAGGAAATTTTGGGGGGAGGGTATGATAGAATATTTCAAAATTAGATTGTGATTATTGCATGACCATAAATTTACTAAAAATCATTGAGTTGTACACTTATGATAGGTGAATTTTACAGTATGTAAATCATCCCTCAATAAAGGGAAGAGTATATAAAAAAGATATATTTATTAGTTGTAGTGATTCTTCATGTATTTAGGTACTGTAGTTTCTACCTATTTGTGAGATAATAGAAAATACATGTATTGGTCTCTGCCGCCAGTTCCGGGTGCAGAGCATCTGAAACCCTTGTAAATTCCCAAGTGCGAAGAGCACTAGGGGCATCTTTTGTTCTAATGAGGTGACTCTGGGTGGGCTCCTGGATGGCTCCTGGATGGGAGGTGGTCACTAGAAAGACCATGCCATGATTAGAAGCTTGGAGTTTTCAGCCCCACCTCCCATTCTCCAGAGTCGGGAGAGGAGCTGGAAATGGAGTTAATGATCAATCATCCCTACATGAGGAAACCACCATAAAAGTCCCAAAAGTGCGGGATTCAGGGAGCTTCTAGGTGAGTGAACACATCCAAGTACCGGGAGAGTGACGCACCCCAACACCACAGGGACAGAAGCTCCTGAGCTCAGGACCCTCTCAGACTTCACCCTGTGTATCTCTTCATCGGTTGTTCATCTGTATCCTTTAGTAAACCGTTAAGCTTAAGTGTTTCCTTGCATTCTGTGAGCTGCTCTAGCAAATTAATCAAACCCGAGGAGGATGTCATGGAAACTTCTGATTTGTAGCCTATCGGTCAGAAGCACAGGTGACAACCTGGACTTGTGATGGCATCTGAAGTGGAGTGAGGGCAGCCTCGTGGGACTGAGCCCTTAGCCTGTGGGATCTGATGCTATCTCCAGGTAGACAGTGTCAGAATTGAGTTAAATGATAGGACACCTAGCTAGTGTCGGAGGATTTGCTTGATGGGGGAAAACCACACACATCTGGTGTCAGAAGTGTTGTGAATATGGTAGTAGTGTGAGGGTAAAGGAGACACACAGGAGGGAGAGAACTGAGTTGTTCCTGAGCACCATTCTTCCGAAGCTCTCTGATTAGGCGTGTTGAGTTCAACTGAATTGGAGGGATGTGTCAGTGGAGTAACTGCACTGTGAAATCTTGAAAATTCTCTCCTTGGAACATCATCTCTGACCTTGGACACATTTACCCTACGAATTCTCAACTGTATTAGAGTGTTGTTGAATTTTCACCATATTGTGCTCACTAGAATTTCTTAAAGAATATATTCTAATTGTTCTTCATGCACGCTTGGCCTTGCCAAATATAGGAAGAACTTTGTCTAATTTCACAATCATGAATTCATACTATTTCCCAAAGTCCTTTGTAAATATTTCAGACTGGATCTGCTACATTTGAATTATATATGTCACTCACTCATAACAAGGAGTTGTATTTATATAAGCAAATGTTACAATCTTTTAAAGATAGACCTAATATACAAAATATTTACATTTTTACATTAATATTAACACAGTCCTGTAATTGTTCTTAAAATAGTATGACTGTGAACTCAGTTTCTCACAATGGCTAGTATGGAGGAGTTGGGTCTTGAACCTAAATCTAATGATTGCATGTTGAGTGCTCTTTCTGCTGTGGTGTCCTATCTCCCATGCACTATAATTTAGAGAGAGGTGTGCTAAGTACCATTAGCAAGTCATAGGTGAAACAGAGGAGCTAGGTAGTACTTTCAGATAAAGATGAGGGCAACATTTAAATTAGGCCTTGAAGGATACAAACGTTTTAAATATGAGGAACTGGGTGGTGGAGGTGGAGAGGGCAGGAAGTTGAGTTTACTTAGGGCAGGGAAGGGCACTCTGGGAAAGGGAAACAGTATGAGCTGACGCACAGAAGTAGTCTGGGGCCAGAGCACATAAGGCAACGAACGCTGGGCTACCAGGTAAGAACTTGAAACCCTGTCCATAAACTATGACTAAATAAATGATGATGTATGTATATACACTCCATGAAATATTATACAGCCTTTAAAAATGAGAGTGGCATAGAGAGACTAGCAAGATGGAAAACATCAGCAACACTATGAGTCGACATAGCCTACTTGATTAAGATAATATGTGAAAGTGGTTTGTGAACTGTAAATAACAGTCTTTCAGAAGGCACAATGGGGAGTGAAAAGAGAGGAACCAGGAGCGCTTTAGAGAAGCGGGCTGCAGGAAGGATTTATTTTTAGGCTAGGGTAAGAATTCACTAAAGAGCTATAAACAAAAGGTGTGAGGGAGTCAAAATGATTGATGGAGCGAGTCCTCAAGAAGATATGCTGGGTCAGAATCAATGGAACAAGCGACTGGGGGAAAGAGAAGAAAGTGGATAAAAATACAGAAACCATGAGGCGGAGGGGACATTGTGCCTCCTTGTAATATCCTGTGGTGAGAGCCAAAGCTTTGCTGTGAGGGCAGAAGCTGTGGCTACTTCAAACCTCTGCCTCTCCCCTCGAGCCTCCTACTGCAAGAAGAGAGGCAAGCTCTCAGCTGAGAGCCCCAACTTCCCATGCCACAGCTCACAGTCAGCCTGAATATGCCCGTCTTGATGTCCTTTCTTCCAGTCTCCCAGGAGGACTGTTCCTGCTCCTGTGCTGTGCTGTGGGACCTCGTCCCTCTTTCCTCCTCTAGAACCTTGAATCGTCAATCCCTGCTTTCTCCTTTATCTTTGGTCCCTGCCCTGACCATTGGATCCTTCTCAGCATATATTTAACTACTTATTAAAGGCCTCCCCGAATGTTTCATAGTCACCTCACACTCATCGTATCTTTCCGCGCACACCAGCTGTCCCTCCTGTAGTCTCTGCTTCGGGAAGATGACCACCACCCGCCCACAACCCTGAAAGGCTCCCAGACTCCTCTCTTGTCACTCCCAGAGCTAACCAGTTACCAAAGTCTTTTCATTTTACCTTTAAAATAGCTTTGCATTCATAGCTTGCTCTTTATTTCCACTGCCACTATTTTTGTTTCTGGCCTTGGTTTTCCTTGCCTGGAGCACTGCAGCAGTATCTTAACTGGAACTTCTGATTCTAGAATCACCCACCATCAACCTACCCAGTATATCACTGTTAGAGTGATCTTTCTAAATGCACATCTGACCACATCACTCTACTTAAAATCCGTCAGAGCTTCTCATAAGGATAAAGTTCAAATTTCTTAGCATGGCATATAATGCTATTCATGATCATCTTCATCTCCTGCCATATGAAGAACGTAGGTTTTAGACATTACTCATGGTGCAGGGAGTGTAACGAGGTATCTCAGGCCTCCAGGCTTTGAGTGTGCTGTTGCTTTCCTTGTCCATCTATCTGGGGAATACCTTGTCAGCTAAGAAGATCTGGCTGAACTGTCATCATTTCTGTAAAATCTTCCCTGAGGTTTTCTCACATAGCCCAGGGCTATTTCATGCTCCTAGAGCACCCTAGATAGACACTTATACACCATTCTAGAACAAAGGTTATCTATCTATCTCCCTCAATAGATTATGCAGTCCTTGGTGATCTTTGCCTGATTTTTCTTCGTATTCCTGGCATCCTACACAGATGCTATCATACAGTTTATTGAAAGTCACTAAATGTTTATTAAAAGATGGACTGGCCTAGACTCTACATCCTTGAGCCATGCACCAAAGGAGGCAAATTCATTCTGGGACAATCGGTAGGTGAAAGATCATAAATGTCTAATAACACACATGGTAAATGTAACTCTTATGCACACAGTCCTGTTTGCAGACAACCTGTGTTAATCCCTCCATCCCATCTGTTTCATCACGTTGGTGTGCAGAGTCCAGAGGCTGCATTAGCCATCTTTATCTTAATATTTTCCTCCTATCATATTTAATTTTCCCCAGAGGATCCCATGGAACTAATATTAGTGTCTCTTTTTAAAACTTGAATCACTTCCAAAGTCTTCAGTGCTTAACTTTCTGAAACAGAACACTGTTACAGCTGCAACTCACTATGTATTTCTCATGGTTTGTCTTAAATTGTATTGCAACTTTTTGAATTTAAGAAATTAACAAGTTTTGTTTCAAAATTCATGTAAAACCTGTCTTATAGAATTGCTCAACAAAAATAATAGCTTTGATTTATTCAGCACTTCCTTCAGGGCCAGATATATACTCTACATCTATTTTCCTCTTGTACTTACCTAAGTGCAAAACTAATTTCCGTGAGATCAAATAATTTCTTCCCTTCCACGCAAGCTGTATTTTGCTTCCATAGTTACACCTCCATCACGGTTCTGGGATTTATCAAAAGGATCATATGTACGTTATGTGCATTTATTTTTTTTGACACATCACAAAGCCAGCTGTCTCTGGTTCTCATATTTAAATTCAGAACTAATTCTCAACACTATGTTAAGGTGGAAATTAGAAGGGTTAGGTCTTAAAAAAAAAAACACTCCTCTCCTTTCATCTGGGCTTTAATTCCAAAGGATTTCAGAGTTAGTATCCTTTGAAATTTGGTGGGTGTTAGGAAAAGCCTGCCTTTCTGTAGAGAAAAAGGATATCTTGCAGACAGAAACAAAACGTAGACGTGCGATCCATAACAATTTTTACGTGTCACTGATACTGTGGGAGTGGTATTCCGTGAGAGTAAAAAGAGACGCATATTTGGAAAAGAAGCCACTTTATTAATCTATTTATGTTAAAGTGGAATATGTTTGATTGTTCACAGGAAGAAATAAGAAGAAAAGTAATCACATTTTTTGGAATGTAAAATTTCACCATTTATACAGATTGTAGAGCATCATCAGTATGTATTGATCTGGGTGGCACAGTTAGTAGTGACTCTGCTCCTGGAGTGGTTGACAAAAATGATTAATGTTTAATCTTCAGTCCTGTTTAATCTGAATCATTTCTGTTTCGTTCTAAAATTTCTGGCATCTAAAAATGAAAGGAAAAAATGTTTCTTAAGTTTTCAGGAAAGACAAGTATTCAGTGACAGAAGAGCTGATTCTTGATTACATAAGGAATTCTTATTCCATAAACAGTTAATTCCTTTTTTTTTTTAAGGATTGGCACCTGAGCTAACATCTGTTGCCAATCTTTTTGTTTCTTCTTCTTCTCCCCAAAGCCCCCCAGCACATAGTTGTATATTCTAGTTGCAGGTCCTTCTGGTTCTGCTATGTGGGACGCTGCCTCAGCATGGCTTGATGATCGGTGCCATGTCCGTGCCCAGGATCTGAATTGGCAAAGCCCTGGGCTGCCAAAGCAGAGTGCTCAAACTTAACTACTCGGCCACAGGGCCCACCCCCATAAACAGCTAATTCTTTTTTTTTTTTTTAAAGATTTTTTTTTTAAATTTTATTCCTTTTTCTCCCCAAAGCCCCCTGGTACATAGTTGTATATTCTTCGTTGTGGGTCCTTCTAGTTGTGGCATGTGGGATGCTGCCTCAGCGTGGTTTGATGAGCAGTGCCATGTCCGCGCCCAGGATTCGAACCAACGAAACACTGGGCCGCCTGCAGCGGAGCATGCAAACTTAACCACTCGGCCACGGGGCCAGCCCCTAATTCTTGATTACATATGAAAAAGGGGTTCAAGGAAAACCTATGGATAGATGAACTTAGATAATACCAATACTGTATTTTAATCAATATTTTTGTTTCAACCTTTTTCACACCAAGGAGTATGACAAGGAATAAGGCTGGTTGAGTTTTGTCTTCCTTGGTTCGGTTGCCAGCTGGCAGAATGAAGAAGGAATAGGAGCAAGAATCTGAATAATTCATGAAGTGACTCACCAGCACAGTATAACTAAGAATTGATAGTATTAAGGTGTCCTCATAATTCAACTATTAGAACAGCTGGATCTCAGTGGAGCATATGGAGACATGCCCTTTGATTGTATCTGTCTTCACAAAGCTAGATCACAAATAGGCCACAGTATTCATGAATACACCCCTATGGCCAGCAAGGGTAGCATTGGTTCTGGGTCCCAAGTCTGTCTAATATTGACTCCCATTTAGTACCTATTATAGGATAGGTGCTTGGGGATACCAAAATGAATATGAGACAATCCTGCACTAAAAGAGTTGTAGTTAAATCAAGGGACATGTAAGCAGAGAATTGTGATGAAATGTTACAGGTGCTGTTACACCAAAGGGTACAGGATGGGCACACGGGAGGAAGCAAGTCAGTTCCATCCGGGAGACAGGGCAGGAAAGGTTTCATAGAGGGGATGCAGCTTGAGCTGGCAGATGTGTGAGGTGGGAACTGAAGTAAGGGGAGAAAAGGAGTTGGGAGAGAGCATTCCAGGTAGGGGAAGCTGCATGGGCAGTAACAGGAAGGCATAAAAATAACATAGCATGTTTAGAAAATAGCAAGTGGTTAGATATGGTTGGTGTGTACAAGGAGGAGGAAGCAATGAATGAGAAGATTGGACCTACCACGGTCATGGACTTGGGATGATTTTCTAATCTTCTTAGTCTACAGGAAAGAGAAAACAATGTAAAAAAAAAAAAAAAACAGGTGGGTGTGAGGACTAACATAGTGAACAAACATGCCACTATTTAATATAGTTTCCTTTCCTTTCAAGGAGAAATTGTCATTTAGGATAGAACAATGAGACCCTAAAAGATTAAGATAAAGCTTTTTAGCATGTAATATATAGATTATTCTCACTAAAAAATAAATAAAAATATTGGGCCACAGTCTCATTACATTTTAACCTTCTTCTAGATTTACTGCTTAAGATAAGATTCTGGCTGTGACTTGAAAACCTCATGAATTTCCTTGGAAATGATGAAGAACTAGAGGCAAAAATAAGACATCTGAGACTATTAAAGTGCTCACTTTTATCTTCCTATTTCCCACTCTTTCTACTCCTGAAGACAATTGGCAAAAGCAGAACCATGATTCTGAGATGGGGCAGAGGTAGTCTGAAGTGTGGTCACACGCTCAATTTACTGAGGTCAATCGGTCAACGGGAGGCTTCCCGGATGGTCGTGGCTGACGGCTGATGTAAGGCTTAAGTTTCTAAGCAGCAGCCTTATCAGCTGGAAAGGGCCTTGAGATCCCTTCTGTTTCACTTCAACTCCTTGCTTCAAGGCCAGTCTAAATCTATACAAATGGGCCTCAAATCAATTGTGAAAATAGGCCGAGTATAAGTAGACAAATATCTGAACTAGTGAAACCTTTAAGTTTATATGCAAATTTTCTTATTTTAAAATAATTCTGGAGAAAAATATTCCACAGTTTCAGCAACTCAGAAAAGATTCATATTCAGTTTAAATTAGCAATTACGGAGCATCTGTAATATAACAGACATGAGATCTATTCCTTCATATCAGGGAAAAAATTGTAGTTAACCTATCATTTTGCAAATATTAGTATAATCTGCTAAGGGGTTTTGATTTTCAAAATATAGTTGTATTTGCAAATGGTATGCTGAACCAACATGACCCATGACATAATCAAAATGCAACTTTAATGTCTGCCTCTTGCTTCTAGCCTTTTTTCACTTGGGGAAGCTCTTCCTTTGCCAGTAGCTGAATAGGCAGCAGCCCAATGATTTTTGCTCACTCTAAGGTAATGGTCAGTCTTGACTGTGAGGCATGAACACAGTCTCAATTCAGTTATCAGAATATGCAGTCTTAAATATTAATCAATCCTTTAATCTTCACTCAAAAATAAGACTTCTCCTCTCCCTCTCGCAGCTAAGGCTTTAGTTGGTGGACCCACCTGCCCTTGGAGGTCAGTTTCTGCATCTTCGCTCACTACCTCCATTTGCAGCAGGAGGGAGAAGTAAGGAAACAGCACATTTCTTACGTGGCTGGGTGGCTCCGGAGTCTCTGGGTTTGGCAAATGGCTAAGGCTGATTTTTTCTCTTTGGAGCTTGCCATTGCTGAGGACCTGGGTCCTACAGTTCCCTTGACTCAGGCTGATGCATCTCTCTTCTGATGGTCACTGCTTGATCAGCACCTAAGAATCTAATGTTCCCCTCCAGCTTCTTGCCACTGGTATCCTTTCAGGAAGCCTTGGGTAGACCCCAAGATAACTTGACTCTTACCTGCATAGTTCTTAAGGAACTATTGCATACATTCTTTGTCCTGATGACAAGCTCAGAAAGAACAAGCCACCCCAACTGCCCCTCTGTCATGCTGCCACAGCTTGCTTTAGTTTTTCAGGCATGAATGAGTCATTCATCCTCTATGTTTCCCAACTTTCATGAAACTATTTCAAAGCTCTCTCTCTAGCTGATCTCCTAGAAACCCCTCCCAAGGCTTAGGTAAAAGAGGTAGAATTACTTGGGGCTGATGGGGGCTCACGACATGACAGAGTCAAAGAAATCTCTTCTCCAATATTCCCCACTCTCTACACTTTTTACATACTGGATCTGGCCAAGGGATATGAGTCATGACACAGGTTCTTCAAAATTTCCTTCAGAAACTGCACATGAGGAAAACTCACTCTTGTTTTGGGAAATGGTAAAAGTTTTCTTAGCATCTCAGGAATTAGGCCAGGAAGAGTCCCATTTTAACATCCTACTATGGTCTTAATTAATTCCATAGGGTTTGGGCATATACCCTGTAGCATCAAATACTGAGAGTCTTCTAAAGTAACGGATTATAAGATTTAACATTAGTGTAAGAAAATCTGGTCTGCTATATATATATTGATAGCAGGGTAAGCTGTTTTATTGTAGACAAAATATTAGCTCATAATCTCTATAGCGTCTTCCTTAGAAGTGATTGCAAGTTCCAAGAGGGCAGGGAACATGGCTCTCCAATTCAAGTCCTACAAAAAACATTTTTATCAAGCAACTATTTCATACTAGGCAAAACAGCAAACACTTTCACATAATTTATCTTGTTTATCTTAAATTGAGATAAGGAAAAAGTTTTTTTAAAATGTATTATTATTATACATATATTCTACAGTTAAAGACATTATTATTAAGAAAAAGAAAAACTTACCTTGGTTTTCTGGCTTTCTCTCTGGGCCTCCTAACTAAATCTTCCAAATGTTTATTTCTCTCTTCTAAACTGAAAGAAGAAACAATTGAATTTTATGACTGAAATTGACTTTTCTAAACTAATTTTTTGTTATATTTATTGGAGGATTTGAGTAGATATATTCAAATGGTGGTCTAGCTCTCTGTACATTGTCCCTCCATCTCACTATATGGGAATTTGGGATTCTTTCCTAGCAACTCAAATCATTTGATCAATTTTTCCCTTCATAGGTTCCAGTGGTGAAGAAGGAAAGCAGATAGCAGTAAAGCTATAAAGTGACATGTAGATGTTCTTCTAATCATTTACACGGTGGGTCGAGAACTGACCACTGTGTATGAGTTAACCCAACATGATCCTGGAGGCGACATGTGAAATACAAAACCCCTGAGCTGTGGACTGCTTTAACATGGGGAAATGTGTAGGAGTGTTACAGGAAGGATCACAGCATGCAGGTGGCCTGCTAGAGATTTACTTGTGTTATGTTTTTATGGCTTTTAGCAAGAGAAATACCAATGGTTCCCCTTGTTGCCCCTAGGAGGGCAAATTCCATTAAGATAGTCTCCTCCTAAACTTACTTTCCCATCCAGCAAGGGTGTAATAGTTTCCTGTGACTGCTGTAACAAATTCCCACAAATTTGGTGGCTTTAAACAACATGCATTTATTCTCTCACAGTTCCTGAGGTCAGGAGTCCAAAATCAGTTTCACTGGGCTGAAATGAAGGTGTTAGTTGGGAAGCGCTCCCTCCAGAGGCTCTAGAGGAGAATTCTTTGCCTTCCTTTTCCATCTTCTGGATGCTGTCCTTATTTCTTGGCTCATGGTCCTGCATTGGTTTGCCCTTTCTCCCCTGCTTCCATGGTCACATTGCCTTCCGATGTCATCACATTTCTCTCTGCCTCCCTCTTATGACAATTGTGATTGCCTTTGAGACCCACTGGGACAATCCAAGACAACCTCTCTATCTCAAAATCCTTAATCACATCAGAAAGTCTCTTTTGCCATATAAGGGAACACTCACAGGTTCCAGGCATTAGGATTTGGATATCTCTGGGGGCCATTATTCAGCCTACTATAAAGGGTAAACAGACACTTAGAGGGCAGGAAATTCTACTGCAGGGATCACAGCCTCAAATGCCTGTGGGAGAGTCAGGCAAGTATGCGGAATGAGTAAAGCCAGCTAAGTGGGGATTCGAACAAAGCCAAGAGAATATACCCTATTCCTCACCTAAAGGAAGAAGTTGCTATTCACCTCTTGCCAAGTGCTGCCATGTGGGAATGTTGCAGCAATGTCGTCAGATCTTAAAGAGGAGATAGAAATCTAAACCTTTGCAGGAAATTGTCCTTTTTAAATTTTGGCAATAACTTAAAAATATTTTAAACATTATAGGGACCAAACAAAACACATCTGTCTCAGGATTTGACTTGTGGACTGTCATTTTGAAACCTCTGCCTCATTGTCCAGAGGTATCAGGTTTCTGTTTTCAGAGGGTAGAGAGGAGAAGCTGTCCAACCCAGGAGAAGAGATGACAACATTAAATAGGTCCTCCATACACCAAAAGCCTTAGTCTATCATGCTTTATTTTCAGAGAAATGGCATGGAATAAGTCTTCTGTATTTCTAGAGTTGAAAAGAAAGGCCCCAACTCTTGGGGGAGAAGGATCCCCAAGAAAAGAAAGTAAAGGAATTTTCCAAGTGTGCAAAAAAGCACCAATGGAATGTTTTTATACACTTACTCCTGTGTATAGAGCTGAAGGCAAAAAGCTACAGCCTAAGACCAAGTAAATAGAGTCCCTGGTTTACCATGGAGGAAGTGATGTCCTCCCTCAGAGGGCCCTGGCTGCCCATGCAGAGAGCTAGGCAAGCAAAGCAGCACCATTGAGTGGATGATGGTGCTAACTGGACCATGCCAACAAGGGCCGTGATCTTCCCACTTGGGAGTGGAAATTGGACTTACCCCCGTGGAGTCTATTTTGGCACTCAGGTTTGTTTTTGTTTTTTAAACATCTTTATTAAGGTATAGTTGACATGCAATAAACTGCACATATTTAAAGAGTAAAATTTGATGTTTTGACAAACGTATATACCCAGGAAACAATCATCACAATTAAGGTAGGGAACATATTCATCACCCTCAAAATTTTCCTCATGTACCTTTGTACTCCCTCCCTCCCATCCCTCCTCGTTCCCTCATCCCCAGACAACCACTCATCTGCTTTCTCTCACTATGGACTAGTTCATGTTATCTAGAATTTTATACAATGGAATCTTACCCTCAGCCTAATTATTTTAAGATTCATCCATGTTGTTTCACGTACCAAGAGTTCATTCACTATTTTATTTATTTATTTATTTATTTAAAAGATTCTATTTTTCCTTTTTCTCCCAAAGCCCCCCAGTTCATAGTTGTGCATTTTCAGTTGTGGGTCCTTCTATTGTGGCATGTGGGATGCCGCCTCAGCATGGCCTGATGAGCGGTGCCATGTCTGCGCCCAGGATTCAAACCAGTGAAACCCTGGGCCACAGAAGCAGAGCTCGAGAACTTAACCACTCCGCCATGGGGCAGGCCCTCATTCACTAATTTTTATTGCTGAGTAGTATTCCACTGTGCGGCTAGGCTACAAATTGTTTAAATTTCACCATTTCAGGGACATTTAGGTTGTTTCCAGTTTTGGTCCATTACAAATAAAGCTGCTATGAACATTGATCTTTTTGTAATGTACATGGTTTTTGTAAATACATGGTTTCTTTTCTCGTGAATCAATACATAGGAGTAGAATGGCTGAATCATATATGGTGGTGTGTGTTTTAACTTTTTAAGAAGCTGCCAAACTGTTTTCCAAAGTGGTTGTGCCATATTCCATTCCGACCAGGAGGCTATGAGCATATCAGTTGCTCCACATCCTCGCCAGGACTTGGTATGGTCAGTCTCTTAGACATTCTAATAGATTTGCAGTGATATTCACTGTGGTTTTAATTTGCCTCCTAATTATGTTGAGTATCTCTTTTTTTTTAGAGATTGGCACCTGAGCTAACATCTGTTGCCAATCTTTTTTTTCTTCTTTCTTTCTTCTTTTTCTCCCCAAAGCCCTCCAGTACATAGTTGTATATTCTAGTTGTAAGTGCCTCTGGGTGTGGCATGTGGGACGCTGCCTCAGCTTGGCCTGATGAGCGGTGCCAGGTCCACGCCCAGGATCCCAACAGGCAAAACCCTGGGCTGCTGAAGCAGAGCGCGCAAATTTAACCACTCAGCCACTGGGGCCAGCCCCCTAAGTATCTCTTTATGTACTTGCTTGTCATTCATATATCTTCTTGGTGAAATGTCTGTTCAAATCTTTGCCCATTTTAAATGGGTTGTTTTCTTACTATTGAGTTTTGAGAGTTTGTTATATAGTCTGGATAAAACTTCTTTATCAGATATATGACTTGCAAACATGTTCTTTCAGACTGTGGCTTGTTTCTTCATTCTCTTAATATCTTTTGAAGAGCAGGAGTTAAATTTGTTTTTTAATTTCAGTTTTATTGAGATATAATTAACATACAGCACTGACAAACAGCAGTATAAGTTTAAGGTGTAGAGCATAATGACTTGACTTACATATATTGCAAAATGATCACCACAATAAGTTTAGTTAACATCCATTATCTCATATCTAGACAAGGAAAAAAAAAAGAGAAAAAAGTATTTTTTTCCTTGTGATGAGAACTTTTAGGATCTACTCTCTTAGCAACTTTCAAATATACCATACAGCATTGTTAACTATAGTCACTATGCTGTCCATTACATCCTCAGTACTTATAACAGGAAGTTTATACCTTTTGATCACCTTCATCTAATTCCCTCACTCACTACCACCCATCTCTAGTAACCACAAATCTGATCTCTTTTTCTATGAGCTTGGGTTTTGTTTTGTTTTTTTAGATTCCACATATAAGTGAGATCATACAGTATTTGTCTTTCTCTGTGTGACTTACCTCACTTAGCATAATGCCCTCAACGTCCATCTACGTTGTCCCACATGGCAAGATTTCCTTCTTTTTTTAATCACTGAATAGTATTCCATTGTACATATATATGTACCACATTGTATATATATATACCACAACTTCTTTATCCATTCATCTGTTGATGGGCACTTAGGTTGTTTCCATAGCTTGGCTATTGCAAATAATGCTGCAATGAACATGGGGCTGCAGATATCTTTTTGACCCAATGATTTCATTTTCTTTGGCTATATACCCAGAGGTAGAATTGCTGGATCATATGGTAGTTCTATTTTTAATTTTTTGAGGACAGTCCATACTGTTTTCCACAGTGGCTGCACCAGTTTACACTCCCACCAACAGTGCACCAGGGTTCCCTTTTCTCCACTTTCTCAGCAGCATTTGTTACCTCTGGTCTTTTGAATAATAGCCATTCTAACAGGTGATATCTCACCTCAACATGAGGTGATATCTCATTGTGGTTTTGATTTGCATTCCCCTAATGATTAGTGATGCCGAGCATCTTTTCATGTACTTGTTGGCCATTTGAATATCTTCTTTAGAGAAATGTCTATTCAGGTCCTTTGCCCATTTTTCAACTGGACTTTTTGTTTTTCTGCTACTGAGTTGTATGAGTTCTTCATATATTTTGGATATTAACCCCTTAGCAGATATATGGTTTGCAAATACTTTTTCCCATTTCATAAACTGTCTTTTCATTTTATTGGTTTCCTTTGCTGTGCAGAAGCTTTTTAGTTTGATGTAGTTCCACTTGTTTATTCTTGATTTTTTGCTTGTGCTTTAGGTGTCATATCCAAAAATCTGTTGGCATGATTCATGTCAAAGAGCTTTTTTCCTATGTTCTCTTCGAGGAGTTTTATGGCTTCTAATCTTACATTTGAGTCTTTAATCTATTTCAAGTTAATTTTTGTGACTGGTGTAAGATAGGGGTGTAGTTTCATACTTTTGCATGTGAATATCCAATTACCCAGCACCATTTATTGAAGAGACTGTCATTTCTCCATTGAGTATTCTTGGCTTGCTTGTCAAA